GATAACCAGATTGAAAAATAGTTATCTTGTGTTTGATTGCTTTAAATGCAGTTTTCTGCTTTCTTACTGCTTCTAATAACTTACTAAATCTGCGGTCAGTTCAGCAGACTTTCTTTTGTCCATCTTAGTGATATAATCACTATTGAACAACTAGTGAATAGTAGTGATGAAAAAAAGAAATTCAATAGCACCCTTGAAATTACATACTGTTAGAATCTCACCATGCCCCTAAATTATTCATTTAAGAGAGTTCAGTGTTGAACTGGGGGCAGTTGGAGCCATGCTGGGGCACTTTCCAGTAAGCAAGCACAATACTTGTGTAAGTGAAGTATAATGAAGACTTCTACCCAGAGCACTGTGATTAGGAAATGAATGGGGTTTGGCTTTCACTTCATGAAATATCCTGGTTTATGTATTTTGTCTTTCTGACAAAGATTTTAGATTTGTTAATTGTCAAATATTCTTGTGGCTTTATATTCAAATACAATTGGTTAATGGCCACATGGATTGATAAAATGATTTTAATTTATTTCTTTTCCTTAAATCTATAAAGAAAATGTTGGGTGTTTTTTTTTTTTCCAGATTGCCCCTTTACAGATTGTTTGGTAAATAAATTTTATATTGAATAATTAACAGTCCTCTTGAGATAATTTCAAATACTGATTCTTATAATAAAGATATCGTGCAGTCGCCAAATATAGTGGGAAAAAAAAAGGAGAAAGAAAATTGGATGCAAAGTGGGAGAGACACACTAAACAAAGATTAGGCTTTGAAATGGAGAAGGCACAGGACTTAGCTGTAATGAACAATGTAAACTGAGATGCTTCAGAAACTACTGAATTATGGGGAAAAAAGGCTTTTGTCATTGTTACGATTTATTTTAAAATCCTGTGCTTCAGTGATATTAATAGTGCACATGGAGCCACATTTTTATGTTTATCTATGTGTTTTCAATATGTGGTCATCACAGTATGTAGGTGCAATGATGTATAAAAGATAAAGATCAGAGTCTGATCTCAGTAATATGCTATTATAATCCAGAGTGCAGTAAGGACAATTACATTACTTTTTCTTGGCAAAACTTACTTTTTTAGCCATATTAAATATTCTTAAATTTTAGGATGTTTTGTAACCTTTGCAATAGCCTTTTGTCTGGTTTTGTTTTATATATTTTCTTAATTTATTGAATATCAATTATTGAAGACCTAATATTCAAGGTAGGAAGTAGTGATCAAATTTCTTCTTTAGTTCTCCAAAACTTGAGAAAATCCTTTTCTGGATTGCTTCACATGCTATTGATTCTTCTGTTTTTCTGGTTTAGAACTCTATTTCTTATTTCTAGGGTCGTCTCCCTGGTTCCAGGTAAGGGTGATTGGACTTCGGAAGAAATTTATTTTCCCTCTGCTGAATTCCATATGTTTATTGCAGCAGAAATAACCCTTCCAAGGCTATAGGCAGAGTGTTACCCTGAAAGAACTTTCTACTGAGATTCCTTATTGCTATCTTATAAAACACTATTAAATATCTTCATAAACTATTCCTGTTAGTATCCAGTCAGAGAAAGCTGTTTATATGTTCCAATGCCCTTGCACAAAACCCCCATAATGTTCAGAACACTTTAAAAATTGTCATCTACTATCCAACAACATTATTTAAGGGCAATTCTCTGACCCTTCTCATCTGCAGTCAGTAACTCATTAGGTGCAGTTTAGGGGTTCGTGGGTTGCTGGGATCAGTTCTAACACAATATATGCTCAAATTGGATTTTATGAACGTCTTTGTTTGATATAAATCTTTAACTGGTATTCACCTTTCCTTCTGTGAGAAACATCCCACTAAAGAGTATCCACAGGAGCAAAATACATCCTTAAGAGACACTGATTTACACTGTGGTTTTCAGTACATTTTGGAAATGAATTTTCATGTTTAAAGCTATAGAGGCTTGGGGTTTTTTGTTATTCAAAAACCAATCAATAGTCTACATTCAAGTGGCAACATCATTTAGAAGATGTAAACTTACAGTAATGAAGGGATTTTATGTTGCCTTAAACTAGATAATGTTGTCATAATTATAAAGGCCTCTCTAATAAATTATCTCTACATATTTTGTATTGTTTATTACTGCACTCTCTGATATATTCCAGCTCAGAAAGGCCAGATTAATTATGCACATGTCATGATGCCCTTATCCCCGACTGAAATACTTTGTTAAATGGGTTTTATCACTCACTGGTTCAAGAAAACAATGTTTTAATTTTTTTGTTGTTGTTGTTCAGATTACCTAGTAACTTCCTGAACTCTTCAGTTTCAATCTGTAATAAAGCAAAACTATTACATATGTCAATTTTTAAGTCCCCAGGTCAGAAGTTTTTCTTTTCCCTTTTAGAGGGAGATAACCCAAGTATTTTCACGAGGAAATTGTGTTTCAAAGATTTGGAGGTTGTGTATTCATAGTCACTTGTGTAAATGGGCTCCTGAGATGTCCTGAATACATCTTTCATTATGCATCCTCATTCCTGTCTTGGGTGGGAGAATTGGCCATCACGGAATTCCAGGACCACAGTATGTGATGAAAAACTGTCTTGCTGAGAAAAGCACAGTCCCTAAAGAAGGACTGCTAATATGTCTTACTTAGGTAGAAAACTCATAGGACATTGTGGAGCAGATCCATCTATAAATATTTTGATTTTTTATAAGAAATATCAGCATTTCTTATTAAAAGCAGCTATTATGAAAACTAATATAATTGTAGACCCAGTTTTCTTTTGAAGCAGTTCTGCAACAGGGTTTTCATTCATCGTTTAATTTCCACCCTCTCCCCGTCCTGATTCCAGGAGGGATGGGGTTAATTTCCCCCAGGAGCCGACAGGGGGCGGGTATTCTATCCCACGTGACCCATGCCCGGGCTATAAGAGGAGCTAGCCAGGGCGAGGAGAGCAGTCGCCACTTGGGGGTGGGCTGCGGTGGGGTTGGTGGGGACGCACTTCGCTGCGCTACTGTAATCTTTATATCCTTTTATCGGTGTTATTGGTTTGTTTGGTTTGGTTTTTTTTCATCTTCCCTTTTGCTGTTTTGTTAAATTGCACTATTTCAACCCACGAGTTTTGCCTTTTTTCTATCGATTTTTCTCACAGCTGTGGGAGTTGAGCAGGCGGCTGCGTGGTTCTTAGTTGCTGACTGAGGCCAAACCACAACACCCCCCCAAAAAACCCAAAACAAACCCACACAAATAAACAAACTTATAATAAAACAAAAATAAGTGGAATTTTTGTTGGTTTTTTTTTTTTTTCATGGACAGCTGACATAGGCTATTATACTTTTGTCAGCTACGTATCGAAATCTCTAGGTTGTCAGGAATCAAAAGATAGCACACTGAATGTCTCAGCGTCTTAAGGGGGAAGGAGCTGGATCAGTTATTTGCAAGAAATAGGTGGCAGCTATTGCCCACATGCCACTGTGGAAAGTTTTTGTGCAGTCTTTTTCCCCTAGGCCTCCAGCACAACCGCTGAGCCACATGCTGTAGCCACAGCACAGAGATTTTACTTGACCAGTTCAAGAACACTTCTGTTATTCACCCTTCCTGTAGACCACAATCTCTTTGTTGTTTCAAGTATACCCTAAAGCTTACATCAGAAATCCTCATCCAGATAGGGAACAGAAATGAGTTATTGTACTGTGATCTTCGTATACAGCTTTCTAAAATGAGGGGTTAGATTTCTTCAGATTAAATTTAAGTATTTGGGCTTTAGGCTGTCCTTGCTTTGCTCTGATTGTGCTTTGTGTTTTCCCGTTCTATTTCTTCAGTTCCTTTTGCACTTCCTTTGAATTGAAGATGCTGCTATGCATGCTTGCTCACAAGTTTTCTTCCTAGGCTTGAGCAGGGGATGCTGAAAGGTTTTCTTCTCTTTCTCTAAACCTCAGCTGGCTCCATGGAAAGATCTTTATCCCTTCTTCTGGAAAAAGGAGGAGCATTGATAGGTAGCAGTCTTTCCCCACTGAAGCATTTCTCATCACTTTAGTCTTTAGCCTGCACCATTCTGGACCAACCCTGCAGTGAGAGATGCAGTGCTGGAACTCGATGATACTTTCAGTTGCTTTCCGAGTGCTCTAGGAATCTCTGTTGCCCTCCCTAGAAGCCTGGTGAATTTTCAGTGTAGTGATGCAGTCTTCAAGAAAATACTGAGAATATAGTTTCTGCTGAGAAACCTCAGGGACTTAAAAAAAAATAGTTAAAAATGCTTCTTTCTTCATGCAGTACACAGATTTTATTGTTTATGGAGTTTCGTTTTTTTTGTTTGGTTTTCAGCTTTTTTGTCAAACTTTGACTGTTTGGATGACTAGGTCTCCTGATGCTTTTATGCTACTATGGATGAGTCTGATGCTGGATGCTATCCAACACTTATCAGTGATTTTAGTGATTATTAAGTTCCCACAAATCACATTTCTTTCAAATAGTGGATAAAGCTAATCATCATTTTATAATTAACATGAACATATGAGAAAGCTTTTTAGATATCCTTTACAGTCTGTTAACATTTGCCTTAGTGAAATAAGAAAGCATGTCCATTAATTATACCTTGAAATAAATCTTTAACTAATATTAATGAAGTCCCTAAAGGACTTGTTCTTCAGAAAATAATAAACCTTGTGTTTGTTTGGTAAGAATGAAGGATGATTGCTGATGTTTTTTCTCAGATGTGATACTGTTTCATAATGCTTTTTGAGGCATCAATCTGGCATTTCTGCATATGCATTGAAACACATGCTGTGTACCATAGTGTCATACTGTGTGACCCAGAACAGTTTATCTATTCTTCTTTGTTATACTAAACTTATTTGCAATTGCAGCTTGAAAAGTACAAGAGCTCTCCAATATGATCGGTTCTAGAAAGATTTAAGTATTATTATTTACTGCCTTAAAAAAAAAAAAAAGGAAAGAAAATAAAAGGCTTTCAAGTGACTCAGCTTTTGTTTTTCCTTTGTGTTTCGTGTTTCACCAGTTGAAAAGATACAGAGCCAGTGGGATGAAGTGCATGGACACCTCCAAAGCCGGAGACAGCAGCTTCATGAGATGTTAAAGGATTCAACACAGTGGCTAGAAGCTAAACAAGAAGCTGAACAAGTTCTTGAACAAGCAAAAGCTAAGCTTGAGTCGTGGAAAGAAATTTCTTACACCGTGGATGCCCTGAAAAAGCAAAACACTGAGCTTAAGGTCACTACTGAGAATTAAAATATTTCTGCTTGACTTAATTAGATTGTTAAGGAAAATGTTCTCTAACTATTGGACAGTGCACACTCTTTATCCCTTATTTTCCACAAAAATTAGGAAAAAAATAACTTATAAAGTCCAAAATGTGTATCATATAATCCTTGAATGAAATTGGTCCTAACTTATCAGTCATAACAAATAGCTGGCTGATCTTGCAGGAAAAATACGTAGCTTTTCATCACAAGTATTTCTCATCTCTTCTGTACAACAGACTCAGCTGAGGCACTGGTACCGCAGACAGGGAAATCCTGTAATATTGGTATGTCTGTCTGCACTGATAATGAAGGTTGTCTGGAAGTAGTTAAGAAAAGGAAAAATAAGAATGTAATGATCTATATTGAGATATTTTGAAAATCAAGCATTTTAGATTTGCCACAAGGTAGTCTTGCTGGCTTCAACCTTGACAGGGTTATTAACTGAAAAAAAATCCTGAAATGGCTGCCCTTGTGATTTTAGCAGACATGTTGTCACATTCTGGGTGCTAAAATATCAACATCATTTAGCTTATGTAGTTGAGCTATACCTCAAGTAGCAATGCAAATATGCCTTAACCGTTGCATCAGGTTTTAAATTTCTTGTTATGAAAATAGTCATATTTTCAGTAGTCAATAGGTGATATTATCACAGAATCATAGAAAGGTTAGAGTTGGAAGGGACCTTAAAGATCATCTAGTTCCAATCCCTCTGCCATGGGCAGGGACGCTTTCCACTAGAGTACTCTTAATGAATAAATTTTGAGAACAACTGTTTCAGAATAATAATATCTCATTTTCTGGTTGGGGAAAAACAAGATTGAAACCAACTAGTTAGTCAGCCTTTTAAAGTGAGTGAGTCCTGCCTCCATGTTAATGGAATGTTACATATTAGTTATTCAGGAGAATAGTTGCACAAATATTTTCTCATATGTTCTCTTCTCCTGCCCACCAGATTTTAAGTTTTTTTTAACACCTACAAATCAGCTGTTTGGTTAAAGTTTGTGGACTTAAAACCGTCCCATTTGCACAGCTGAATGGTAGTGAACTGCTGTGAAAAATAGCGGGGTGAGGTCCTCATCAACTGGTTATGTCACTGGAGAAAGTATGTGTGTAACTGCATGATTGGTCTTCAGCTATCTTCATCAGTTAGTCATTGTCTTTCTGATATTTTGAAGTAGATACAATATCTGATGGGGGTTTTGGTTGCCTTTTTTATTTTTTTTCTCACCTATAAGAGGCGTAAAAACTTTCATCAGCCCATTGCTTTAGGGCTGAGAAGTGGTTAAGTTTTCTCATTTAAGGTTATACTGTAAGGGTCATTGCTTGGGAAGGGTGGGTTATGGTAAACAAGGGCAATCACTCACTAATGTATTGGAAAGAGTTATAGATTATGTGTACTACTGTCATTCAGCATACAGGATTCCCATTTGTCACTGTCTTTCTGCAGAGACAGAGTTCTGGCTTCTGCCCAGTGTTTGGATTTAAAAAAAAAAAGAAAAAAAAAAGCTTCAACAATGTCCCAGCTCTGCAAAGACTCAATTAACAAAAAAACAGTTCTGCGCCAACACAGTCTTACATCATTGTGTTGGAGTGTCTTACGTCTTGAACACAAATTACTTAATAGGAAAACAGTTGAAAATACTGTTTTAGAAATGGATTTTATGTCCACCTTTTTTACAAGAATATATGAGCTTTAGATAAAGTTCATCTAAGACAGTATGCTTTTTGAAAAAATTAGGGGGTTTTTGGATCAACATTCTCCAAGGAGAGAAATAAGAATATGCCCTTCTTCTCCTCCATCCCCAAGTCATAGAGGAAGTATACTAGTATACTTATTCATGGAATGTATGTCTATGTATAAACAGAGTTTTTGAAAAGATACCTGTGGGTTCTTTTCACTCCTCCTTTAACAGAGATGTAGCACTAGGCCTATGAGTATCTTCAGCCATTCCTATCCCAGTCTGGATTCAATATGACATGTTGTGTCAAGTTACAGATGTTAGTCTAGAATTGTAATGTCATTGTCACAGCTAGTCCATCTTAATTTGTTGTGCCCTTGAGATGATATGAACATCAAGAAGCTCTACTGTTTCAGGGTTGTTTACTTTCATTTGTTTGGTTTTGCCTAGTCTTTTTCCCACAAGTCTGGAAGAAATTCCCCTCTCTCTTAGAGAATGTGTGTGTAGGGCCGTTCTTGTGGGGTTTTTTTCTTCTTTTTTTTTCTCTTTCTTTTGTGCCAGCCTTCCTAGAGGAATTATCCTCGTCTGCCATTAATTTCTATTGTGTCAAATCCCTCCTGAAAGCTTCTCAAATGTGACAGCATCAGCTGTTGTGTTCATGCTTGAGATAAGGGGTCATGAATTCTAAGGAAAATGGAAATCTTTTTGAGTTTAGCAGCTTTATATTTCTTTTGCATAGTCTTATCTAAACTGAACAACCTAGCAATACATCAAGTCCTCAAAATAAGTGCTTTCCAGGCTTCTGTACCAAACGTATATTTTGATGTTGTCCCCAGAATACGTAGAGTAAGTATGCTGTCTTTTTGCTTGCTGTTACACTGATAAAAATAAAGCTGTCATTTCTCTTCATTTGTGCTGAGGGAAAGAGTTACACTGATAAAAATAAAGCTGTCATTTCTCTTCATTTGTGCTGAGTGAAAGAGAGAGGTCAGTGTGAGTCCTAAATAAATTCTTCAGGCATATTCAGTTTGTCAGCTTTGTATCTCAACACAGCTTGGTGTGAGAAAGTAGTCTCCAAGTGTTCTTCTGATTTCTTTGTTAAACATTATAGGTCTGCCTATAGACAGCCGAGTCAATGCGAAAGTTCCCCTCTGCTCTAAGTGAACTTTTAATCAGTGCTTGTGTTAATGCTTTTCTGTTAGTGCATCCTTACACACAAGTAAATGGTAAGCTCAGCAATACCAGTCTTTTGATTATTTATTTTTTTACAATGCCAGCATAAAACAAAAATCTTTATCTGGCTTGTACTTAAAAGTAAACAATCACCATGTAGCTGATAATAAAAAATATTATTACTTTGAATCAGAAGTTAATTCAGAACTAATTTGCTGAGGTTTAAAGCATTTTTTCACTCCAAATTTTAGTTTGATATTTGAGAACTAAATTCTAAGTACTGGCGTTAGGTACAGAGTATCAGAATATGGCATTCTGGCCAAAGCGAGACTTTACCCATTAAAGCCCTGTCATTGTTTACTAAGTGATGACCGCAGATGGTTAACTCAGCAGGCTGAAGGTTATAGGTGTATAAATAGTACACTGTCACACTTCAGGTCCTTTCCATCCACAAGTCATCTGAACATCAGCTAGTGTAAAACTAGTCTCTTCTTAATACAATACTGAGCTTATGTTACAAAAAAATAAACCTTCTAGGATTGTTTGTTCGTTCCTTGGCTCCTTGTTTTGGTAAGACCTAGTGAGGTACATCTTCTCCCTCTGTACCCATTTAGCTGGGATGGCCAAAGTGAAGAGGAAGAAGGGTGGAGATGAGGTTTCCTTCCTTTCCCTCATTACCAGCTATTTCTTTTTCATCTAAATAGGAAATTAAATAGCAGCCTGATTACATCCCCTGCTCTGTTGGGACTCAAGAGTCCAGGCAACTTTCCACTGGCATAGCCTGGAGGGTGAACTTTATGCCCTGGATTTGTGGATAAGACTGGGGCTATCTTGCTTGATTTTGTTGTCTTCTTGCAGAGAGGGTAACTAACTGGGTATACTTTTGCCTGTCCCTCTGTACCAATATAGGATGAAGCACAGTCTCAGCAGTTTGTGGATTTTTATTATTCCAGGGCTGATTGATAGCATACCGCTTTAATTTTAGTAAAACAATTAACAGTTAATCTAATGTTATTGAATATGATGCAGACACTGAAATAGAATTCCTTGATTAAAAAAAATAATTCTTTAAGTGTATAAATAAAATATGCTATAGATATACAGAAAAAGGACAGGAAGACCGTCTGATTTTCCAGATTTCTGATATCTACACCTGCTCACTGTGGGAATTTACATCCTCAGAACTGGATGAAGTTGTACATAGATATTGCTATATTTGAACTTCTATACATCATTTATATTGTTCCACTGGGTAATCCTAGGATAGAAGAAAGCCCAACTGTAATTTTCTTACTTGTTTTTAATCAAGGATCCTTAATTACCTAGACTTTCTTCCTAATAACATCAACTAGTGTCTTCTAATTAAAAATTAAAAATAAATTTATGCCTAAGTAACATGATAAATGCACAGCCTTAATTCTTTAATCCTTTTAATAAGCTCAGCAAATTCCAGTGATGACATAGACAAAACATAGAGAATGCTTTAAAAATGTCAAAATGAAATGAAAGTAATGAAGCGTTTACCTTTTCTAAAAAAATCAAATGTGTTGTTAAGTAGCTAAAAGATAGATGACACCTAAAAATATAAAAGGGGAAAGAGAAAAAGAAATAATGCCAAGAATTTAATTGTAAGATATTCATTATAGTCCTGTAAGATAGGAGTTAATGGGCCTCTCGTAGGACAGACAGTTAAAACATTCACCACAACACTTTGTTCTCAGTGTCTGTGCGCATGGAGCAAAGTTGAAGCAAGGCATGCAGTTCTCAAAGTTGTTGAAAAATTACGTCCCAATTTCCAATAAAGTAGAAAACACAAATTGTTTTTGTCGGCAAAGGTCTCTATATTCATCATTTCTTTCCCGAGTGATGATCTAGTGTTGTAATGTCAGGAAGTTAATGGATTAATGTTGAAGTTAATGGTGAGAACAACACTTTTGGAAATAGCCTTGTAATAGTTTTATTATAAAAACGGGTTCGGAAGGTTTTATAAGGTCATTTATATTCACATGGGACTGGGCAAAAAGAACTTATTTTCAAAGTAAAATTTACAGGCCATTAATTTACAATACAGGAAAAATGTTATGGTAACTTTTCTATGTAACACAGTGAACAGTCAGTCTGCTGTGATTCTTTGGCTGGAAAAAGTTAGCTGTATGCATGCATAATTTTAAACAAAGAGAAAGGTAGGCTATAATAAAGAGGGATAGACCTAAGTGTAGAATAGACACTTGTTATAAAAGATTTACGAAAAGATAATTACTGTAGATTTTTTTTTGTTTTGTTTGGGGGGGCAGGTAATAGATTTCATTATATGTGTGTAAATATTATCATTAATATATGTATTGTATGTAATTCTGTCAGGAAAGAAGCTCAATTAGGAAACTATTTCCAAAACACCCACCTGTGTATGTCTTCTCCAAAGGAATGGTAGTGTTTTTCTACAAAATTATCACCTCTCCTGACTACATCTCCATATTTAACACAGGAGAATGACTTTAAAAAAATGTTTAGGCAGCTTCAGCTTAAGTGAGCTTAACCATAACATGTTCAGATGGGTTTTGGGAGGTGGAGTTAGTAGCCTCCTCCTAACGTTTGACTGTAGAAATAGGATCCCTTGTTCAAAACAGATAATCAGGTTGCTGTCCTAGTACCTGAGATTGTCTGCTGCAGAGTAATTGGGTGTTCTGCTCTCTCATGAAGGAATAACACAGGAAAGAGAGGAAATAGACGTTTTCAGTTTTAAATTATGGAGAGAACCCAGAGATGGTGAAGCAGCTTTTTAACAGATAAGAGTTTTGGGGGAAAATCAGACCCCCCCAAAACCCCACCTGGATCCTTTTCAAAGATCAAATACATTTCAGTCCCAATCTTAACCAAAATCGATTTACAGACTTTCTGAATTGAAAACATAAGTGAACAAAACGTTCAAAATGTATTTATTTTTACTTAGTATTTAGAATGTTTAATCAAGGATTACATATTTAAATTCAGCTTTGTGTGGAGAATTCCTTATCTGAGTCAAAACAAGTTTTCAAAAGGAGCACTGCTTTGGCAGAATGAGGAGGGAAAAAACTATTTTTTCTTCACAGACATTTCCTGATTTGTGTATTAAAGCACAACAATAAAGACAGTCAAACCTTTTTTGTCAGTGGCTTCTAATGCTTACATGCAACTTATTGTTTCTATTTACAAATACAAACTTTTTTTTCTACTTGCATTGTCCCTTTGATGGACTAGTAGTAGTAGTCTTTGCCTAGTACAGAAGTACAAGGACACCATCGATTATCTTTGTTCTTTCATTTTATTGTTACACATTATGGATTAAATATGCAACTGCGGTGCATTTATATGGAAATTTGGTCTGAGAAAAAGGCTAACAAGAAAGGTGCATGGAAGGTGGTTGCTGGCTGAGTGACTGTTCCAGAGTTCCTGGCTTGCTTCTGTAGTGAGACAGCTGGCCCGGGTGGAAAGGAGAAGAAAGAGGGGAAGAGAAAGAGGAGAAGAAAGGGGAAAAAATGGAATTACCAAGATTTAAAAAGCTTTCTTAATACTAAGAAGCATAAATTAGCATTATAAAGATATTGATAGGTTTACCAGTAGTATTTTGCTGTATTGCACACTTAGTGCTGTTCCAGTAGATGGCACTAATTACATAAACAATTCTCTAAAATAAATAAAAAAAAAGTGAAAGCACAGGTATTCTTTGTCCAAATCTCAGTATTATTTCACAATATAAAAAAAGAAAATTAAATAGAACATATTATTTCACTGTATTTTCCATTGCTGTATAATTCAACATCACAAATAGTGATAGTTTGCATAGTGCATAATAATGCATCAGTCTGTGTCTCAGAAAAGAATAATCAGTGTTCTAATCAGAATTTATCAATTTGAGCAGTCATGTTTTATCCAGAATTTAGGATTTTGTTGCTTGGTCTCCTCGGAGATTAGAAGTAGTCCTATGGTCTTATTACTTAGAGAATTTTAATATTTAGAAAAACTCTGACCTTAGTTACCAGTTAAACTGAGAAAGTCTTTTTTTAAATTTTTTTGTATTTATGGTATAAGTTGTGCACCTCCTCTAATAATCATTCAATGTGTATAATCATTTTATGGTGATCTGAGGTTTATTCTTTTTCTTTGTCTTTTTACTTCAGCAATTTTCAAAAGAAATACGACAATGGCAAATAAATGTAGAGGTGACAAATGACATGGCACTTAAGCTGCTCCGCGATTATTCAGCAGATGACACCAGAAAAGTAGAACTAATGACAGATAACATCAATGCGTCATGGGCTGCCATTAATAAGAGGTAGGGTATAACTTTTGCTATTAGATTTGTTGTTAAACTTAATTAACAGTCATTGTCCAGATTTGGTTGGAGATTATAGAAGATGTAACTTGTGAAAATGACATGATTATAGTGAGAAAGAAAAGAACGATGATGACTCTTGTGTCATAGTTTTTGGAAATATGTCTTTGGAATCCCATTTAATTCTCGCAAATAAAATTTTGCCTCCTGCCAATTTTCCTCTGCTGTAATCAGTTGCCACCTAACTTCAGTTGATAAGTATATATTTTAAATATTTAAAATGAAGTGTATCATATTTCAATGTACTGTCTACATGTCCCAATCGCTATAGTGATTCTGTGTCATAAACTGAATCTGAAAATGACAGACATATTCTACTGAAGCAGTTTCAAAGTAGAAATGTTGTCCCGTACCTTTGAAGCAAATCTCTAGTCGAGAAAGTTTTTATTAGATCCTTGATCACATTCTTGATTACATTTCAGTCTTGCAGTGTTTGGTTTAGATACCAGTTCTTTACTAAAAGCAATTTTTTCAGCTTGCCACCAAATTGAGAATCATCCAATATGCAATCTCTAAGATCAGAACATATTGCAGAATAAAAATTACTTTCTTTATAGTAGTAAAAGAGTTTTAAATCATTGCACATTAGATGAGATACGTAAAAATTAAATCAAAATTGTTTTAATCAGTATCTTGGATTAAGTTTTATAGCTTATAACTGAAACTAGAACTGAATTAGATCTTAACATGTTTTTAATTAAAGTCTATGAACAAGGGCACAAAAGTCAGTTTAGTTAAATGTGCAATAAATTCAGGAGATCTTCTTGCATAATGGAAGTTACTTAAATCACTGATGACTACAGAAATTTATTACCACTCTTTGTTTAATTTTTTATGAAGTTGATATTCATATGAATGAGTCACTTTAACAGCATTTTTTCTGAAGCAGACTTACCACTGACTCAAGATCCCATTCAAATGAGAAAAGAGATGCTATTGATGTCCACTAAAAGAAAGCCACTAATACTTTGAAAGCTTTTTTTTTTTTTTTAACAAGAACAATAACTAAACTGAGGAACTAGTATAAGCATTCAGTTAATAATTGCTTGCATTTCTCCTGTTATAGTAGTAACCATTTTAGCCTTATTAGTAGTAACCATATTTCAAAGAAAAAATGTTTTGCTCTCTGTGGTCTGAGAAACAGGCTGGGGAGAATATCTGTTCCTGAATGAGAAAGGCTGGGTGTCTAATGCTCAAAAATATTCTCCATGAGTAGGTGAAATTAGTAGCTCAAAAGGATTAGATGAGAGAACTGAAGGAAATTTCTTTTGTCTGTATGTAGGACTGCAACCCCCATTTGGTGAGGTGGCTTTGTAATCCTGAAGTCCAGCATATGTCTGTAGCTGCTGTGGATGGGCAGGTAGCAATTGTAGCAAAGAGTGCATCTTTAAATCTGTTAATGCTTCAAGCTCAAACCCGGTTGTATCTAATGTTGCCTAAATGTGAGAATTGCCATTGTTGCACGGACTCAGCCAAGTAGTAGGCTAACACAGAGTACAAATTCTTCAAGACACTCCTTGCAATCTTCTACAAAACCCACAGACTTGTTCACAGTTCATGTGTTAGATGAATTACTGTAGTAAATGCTTTATGTCTTAGAAGAGAGCTGTTTAGGTGACCGAGTTGGCATTTCCCATTAAGAAGTACAAAAGGACAGGTTTAAGCTTGAACAGCTAACTGTAAAACTAGAATTTCCTAGTTTTTGATTGTGTGACTTTACTACCTTTCTAGTATTTTTTTAATTCGTTGTTTTGGATATAATTTTTTTAAGACTTCTCATGATTTGGGAACTTTAAAAAGACACATGCTGTGAACAGTAGTTTGTAAGTTTTTCCAAGGACTGTAACACATTTTTATCTGTCTTTTGTGAGACGTTGATACATATGGATGTACCAAGGCATCGGGTCAGCAAAAGGCTTGTACTTTGAAGATTTTCTGTACCTGTAGTCTTTTCAGGTTTGTTTGACACAGTGGGCAGGCCTTTTGCTCACAGAGCAGCTCCTCTCCTGAGTGAGGTCTTGAAAGAACTTCCTAGATATCTTTTGTTAAGCAGCTCTGTGGAAAGAGAGGATGGAGTCCATGGGCCTTTGGATGACTTTAATGTCAATTTGTTCTGGGTTTAAATTTTTTGTTTGTTTCTTTTTCCTTCCCGCTACTCTTCAGCTTTCAGGTTATTGCACAGAGCAAAACAAATTGTTTCTTTATGGCTTTGGGGATCTTTTGAACTGTAAGAGACTATTTACTCACTAGAAAGGACACACATGAACTCCTTGTCACAGAGTCTAAGAAAGGCTAGTTCTCCACTGAGATGCAAATGCAATAATTTCAGAGATATCCATGAGTGTTATTTTCATCTAGACAATGAGTAAGTAGTGCTCTGGTGACTCAGTGTCCTTGCAGTGGTGTAGAAATATATTCCACATAATGGTCTTGACCATTTCTCCAGTATTTTGGAAATAGTTTTATCACTGTTTATACATGTCTTAAGTACCAAGAGGAAATATTCTGCTAAAGATTTTGGTTTCTTCTCCCTGTATGCTTAATTTAAACAGCCTAATTATTTTGTGGATATTTTCTTTTAAAAAGAAAAATTGAGTGGCTTTCGTTCATTCGAACTGGTTTTCCTCTAACCTGCCATTAATACCAGAATTGTGTGCCAGTGTAAAAAATGTGAAACTGTGTTTTCTATGAACCAGATTAGTAAAACAACAGGCAGGCAAGCAACAGTAAAATTCCACTTTGCCTGTTGGTAATAGTTCAGCCAAAGCAAGTACATTAGTCATTAAGGCAACATCTGCCAGCTTGTGTTTTGTTTTGCTTAAGTAGATTTGCAGCTGATTGCTGTGTGTTTACCCTTTGCCTTACTGTTCTGTTTTATAACATTGAACTATAACGAATAACATTCTAACTCCTTTAATAGACAAGTTGGTGAGTGCTTGATGGGTGTTTCACTTTTTTCACTCGCCACTTTTTAATTTATGTTTTGTTGTTGATGCTTCAAAGATACACTAAAAAGCACATGAACTGATCAGATAGGCAAAAGCCAGAGTGACTTGTAAACAGGTCTCTTCCTCTTCTCTTTAGAAGCATTGACTTTCCAAGAAATAACTATATTATTTAAGCTGAGGCAATTAAGGAGAAAGTGATCTGTATAGCTTGTATTAACAAAAATAAATCTAACAACTAAAGTGCTCTCAAGAGAAAAAGATACAAATGAAGGAAGCAACCATTAGAAATTTACTATACGTAAAAGTGTTTGTTATGGTAGTATTATGTTACTCCCTGCTTTTGTGGGCACTCATATTTTATGTGAATTATCATATAAAACATAAACACTTGCTTAAATTTGTTCCTTTCTTGGGAATTCACTAAATGTGTTTAAATTTCACTAACTTAAACATTAAGCTAAAAAGGGATTTAGATCTTTCTTAAGTGGAGCATATATTATGACAATAATTACATAACACAGTCTGAGAATTGGTTAGGACTCCCACCCATCACTCTCTAATAGACATCTTCAAATATTTGCGTTGTCCATCAGTTCCTATGTTCAAGTTCAATGGAACTCAGGCTGCACAGAAGGTGTTAAGAGCTTTCACCACTCAAGATGCTCCTGGGACAATACAGGACACACACATTAGTCAAAACTTTTTTTTTCTCCACTGCCGGGTATAGGCGGTGAAGAATCAATATATAATTAGATTTCTGTTGTTACTTTAAGTTGTAAGGAGTTAGAGAGGGAGTGGCAAAGAGCTGAGTTTCTAGGCAACCTATTTGAAAGGTCTGAGATACCACCTCCGATATTTATCTAAGAATGGTGTTAATTCTGTAATGGAGTTGGTTGTACTAAGATCTTGATTTTGCATGTCAGCTGGACAGTATGCAATGCAAATGGCCAAACAAACTAAGGACATAACCAGTACAAAAGTATGATGCATATCTGTTTTCTGTGTCGGTGCATAATATAACAGTAATTTTAAGTGTGAAAAAGGTCATAATATAATTTTGGTCTTTGAGCAGCAAACCTTTTTTTATCAGTGGTTGCTTGTTATAAAAATACAATTGTTAGAATGTAAACTGTATCTGTGTATAACATTTGTAAGTATAATTTTATTGCCTGCACAGAAAGAGCTTGACCATTCTGCTGGAGACAGGTTTTCTTAATATACTTTACCTGTCCTAATACTGCTTTGTTTTATGGCACTTGTCGAAGTAATCACATTTGTGTGACAGTTGGATTGCTTTCTGGGTGAGAAAAAATGCATTTACACATCAGCAACAGCCAGCAGTATGACGTGTGCTAAGTTATACTGAAGATTCATAGTTGGTTTCAGTAGCTAGACCTTTCTGGGAGCCATCTCTGAAGAGCTTATTTGCTCATCTGGACTTGGACTGCTGAAGTCAAGAAGGAGATAATCCACAGTATGTTTTGCTTTAAAGAACATTCCCATCTTCTAGGTTCTCCAAGCAAACAGCTTTTTCCTTTCCACTCTTCTGTTGCTTTGAAGGTTGGTCTGCCTTCCAAAAATCTGTATAATTCCATGCGTATGAACAGCTACTATACTTCTTTGAGCAGGCACACTTTATTTGAGCACAGTGAAACAACTACATTAAAAATGTAAGTGGCCATGGCAACCTTTTTTATACGGGAAGCTTGTTTACACCACTGTGCCTGGGGTTGTTGTCCTGGCTACAGACCTGCATTCGTGTGGGTGTGAGCAAGAAATCGTTGCTAGTGTAAGACTTCAGATGAAGATTACAATGGTCAAATGTCATTCTGATGTATTTTTTTTTCTTTTTTTCCCCAAAGAAACCATAGTATGATAATTTTTATTTTTATCATCATGTTGGTGATTTATTTATTGTTCTTTGAAATAATTTTGCCAGGCTCAAGGAAGTAGATATGTAAAGTGACTGATTTTTACAACCAATGTGCCATG